ACGTAGCCAGTCCATATTAACATACTTATTTTAAAATTAAAGTGTTGATGAAAAGAAAACAGCAATTTCTGAAGATCTGATTAATAACTGTCTTTTTTTAAAATCTAAGAACAAGGTTCATTTTCCAGCCAAGATTTCTCTCCTATTCAAAAAATCACCCTCCATTCTAATACAAGTGAACTTAATCCAACTTTTAATATCTCATAAATACATTCATTCAAATACAGAAAAAACAGCTTGTTTAGTGTGCCAATTTCACCCCCTTTAAAGAATTTAAGGACGGCTTTAAAGCTTCAAAGTGCCTTCATAAATTATTTAATAATCAAAAAAAGTTTAAAGACCAATAAGGTGATTATTAACTTTCTAGGAGGGGGGAAATGTTATTACTGAGTAATCCAAGCCTCCATTCTGAATCCATTCTGAAGGTCATAGGAAGTTTATAGAACAAAAGTAAGTCACTGGTTAAAATAACTATGTTCTAATCACTACTTGTGACTCTACTATAAATTATTATATAAAAGGGAAAATTTTTTTTATTGATTTGAGAGAGAGAAGGGAAGGAGGGAGAAAATTATCCATTTGTTGATTCCACTTATTGATGCATTCATCAGCTACTTCTTATATATGATAATAATTAGTGTGGTATTAAGTCAATCATTTTTTAGTAATTCTTGTGCATAACAGACCATCGTTAGATTTTGCATGTTTCCTGTTTAAAAAGCACTCTACTTGGAAACTGTCATGACCTTAACTAAAAAATGAATTCATATTGAATCTTGTAATTGAAATAAGCAATTTCAGAAGACTATTTTGCCACATGAAGTGATCCTCTAAAATGCAAGTTTATTAAAATGACAGAAGTATGGATGTTTATTTTTATCTTATAAAAAACTAAACAAGGGCCTTTCAAGTCACCTATTTTACAAATTCAAAGTCTCCTCTTAGATAACCACAAATTACAGTAATAACTACCATCAATAGAATGTTTTCCATTGGGTTAAGCATTTTTATCACATTTAACACTCACAATACCCTAAACATGAACACATTATCACCATTTTACACATAAAGTTAAAAATTTACCTACCACTCTTGTCCAAACTAAACCTCTGTCCACATTACAGAAAAACAATTACAAGAGACTTTCTGGTTGCAAATAAACACATATAAATAATAGCACAAGTAGTCAAATTGGCATTTCCTTACATATCTATTACTGTGTCTTAAGCACAGACAACTTTACAATTTACAAAACACTTGTACCCTGTCATCTCATTTGTTTCCCATAGCAGCCCTGTTAGGGGATTATTATCACTCCCATATGTCACAGGCTTCAAGGACCAGAGAGTTGAAGTGAAGTCACTCAGGTTTGGATTCCTCCTCCTTTTTCCATACACCATCTTTCTTCTCTATGGTTACAGAAACATAACCCCCACAATCTGAGTATCATGCAATAAAATGATGAATGTATGAGAGATCTAGATAAGCAACTTTCATCAGTTACATTCTTCACCAAGTTCATAGAGTTACTGGTTATTTTGATGCCAACCATAGAAATACAAATTATGTAAGTAAATTTTGTTAAGTTGGCACATGAGCAAGGGAATCCCCTAGAACTAGATTCTACTTGTATTGGCCAGAAGACTAAACCCAAAGTCAGTGAAAAGTACAAACTATCTCCTTGTGTAAAAACAGGATGTATACACTAGTCTTTCATGACTTAACAGTTGTTTCAAATGGACATCTGCCCATAAAATCAACTACATTATAGCCATTTGCTCCAGAGTGGGTATTGAGTGTGTCTTCCTATATATACACATTTCTACTCAAGTTTAGCAAATATGTACACACCCAAACACACAGAGTTGTGGTTAGTAATAACTGGAAAAATCATTTTTAAAATACAGTAGTTATCTTGGCTCTGCATTTATGAAGACTTCGTACTTCTCAATGTGCATAAGCAAAATTGTTCTATTTAATTACTTCTACTTCTTTCTACAATAACTACCATTACCCTTTCTACTTTAAAATTTCCCACTCCTGCCCTGGCCAGTGTGGTTCCGTTGGTTGGAGCATTGTCCTGTAAACCGAAGGTCGTGGGTTCAATTCCCAGTCATGGCATATACATAGGTTGGGGATTCGATTCCCAGTTGGGGCGAATACTGTCCAATTGATGTTTCTCTCTCTCGCTCCCTCCTTCCCTATCTAAAGTCAATAAACATAACCTCAGATGAGGATTTTTTAAAAAAAAAAATTTTAATTTCCCACTTCACTTAGTGACTTGCCCCATCTTTACTTTTATTTTCTAATCCCCACCCAGGGATATGTTTTTATTGAGAGAGAGAGAGAGAGAGAGAGAGAGAGAGAGAGAGAGAAAGAAAGAGAGAGAGAGAGAGAGAGAGAAAGAAAGAAAGAAAGAAAGAAAGAAAGAAAGAGAGAGAAAGAGAAACATTAATGTGAGAAATGAGAATCATCAATCAATTCAAACCTGCAACCTAGGATGTGCCGTGACCGGAAATCGAATCTGTAACCTTTTGGTGTACCAGCTGACACTCCAGCCAACTGAGCCACCCATTACTTTTTAACAACCCAATCTTCTCACTGGTATGATATCAGACTTCAGAGTTTTACCCAGTCATCTCTAATTATGTGACAATTTTCAATGAAGAAAGGCCTCTACTTTCTCTAAGTAAGAGGGCCTCTGAGTAGTTTCTGTGACAAGTCACAGTCATTCCCTCTCATAGGGAAACTTAATTCCCTCACAGAAAGATTTTCAAAGAAAATAAAATCAAAGCCAGATGTTTAAAGTACTTTATAAAGTAACAAGTATTATCCTATTGCCATCGTATTTTCAGGTTAATGGGGTTTTTTTCTGCTAGCCATTTTTAAAGCTATCAGAGAAAGCCGTCAACCAGAGTCTTCTGTACTAAGGGTGCTAAGAGCAAAGGAACGGAAGAAACTTACATGAGTAAAGAATTCATTGGGGAATCAAGTTCCATTACTTTATATTCCCAACTATCTTCCTTAAGTTAAATAATGTCCGGAAAGTTTGTAAATACACTTGAACTTTGAAATTCCAAAATGGTTACAGAGACTACAGTACTATTACACTTTTTAAAAGAAAAGAAAAGAAAGGCTGTTTCTCAGCACCCACCCCAGGGAAAACCTCCTTTGGTCAAGTTGTAAATGACCATTACAAAAGTTTAACTTTTATTCCCATCCCTTACATTTCTAGCTCTTACATTTGAGAGCCTGCCTGCTAAATGGCTTTGCTTACAATTTTATGTCAAAGAGGTCTCCACTGGGGCACAATTTTTTTTATGTATACTGCGACTAAGTGTTGCAATTTTTAAAACATGTTTTGCCCCACAGGCCTGACTCAGTGGTTGAGTGTCTACCTAGGAACCTAGGTCAGGGTTCAATTCCTGGTCAGGACACATGCTCAGTTTTCTGGCTGGATTCCCAGTGTGGGGCCTGTAGGAGGCAGCCAATCGATGATTCTCTCTCATCACTAATGTTTCTATCTCTCTCTCCCTCTCCCTTCCTCTCTGAAATTAATAAAAATATATTTTTTAAAAATAAAAATAATAAAACCATGTCTTAGAACTACAGGATCAAACTAGATGACAGTCTTCCAGGCAGCTGCTTGCTATCAGACAGATAAAAAAATCACAACTTTGGAAAAAATTTCAAGAAATTATTTTTACTTGTGAATATTCAAAAACTTTATCCTAAAGTTATAGAACAGTAGCAAACGAAAAAGGAATTCCAAAATAGGTACACTCTAATTAAGGCCAGAATAATCTCATTTTAAACTTGTTCCTTACAATAAATTACTCTAAGACAGTTACTTCCTTCCCCCAAAAAATAATTTCAAAGGATTTCCAAACTTGACTAATTAGGTTTAATCACATCTACACACATCCTATCATCCTACAAAGTCATTAAAATATGAGTGTTAATGCTTTATAAAGATCCTACACTTCCTAAAATAAGAGTAAGCATTTCTCTTAAAAGAGACACGAAGCACCTTCCTAAGACTGAACTACTGGAGTTGCACCTGACTCACCCCAACTTAGCTCTTCAACTTTACTCATCCAGAAAGCAGAGGGAGACAAAGAGTTTCTACAGTCAAAAACGGATGAGTCCCTATTCATTCGCCTGTTTGCTCTTCCTTTAAACACAAATCTTAACAAGTTATTTGGTTTCTCATGTAGTAATGGGTGACTCGGAGCAAATGAGCAGGGAGAGGAACTGTTTTAGGCGTTCATTTGCTAGGAATGACTATCAAGTGAAGGCTAACTCTAGAAGAAGGAGAGAAAAAAAGACTACAATCTGTGAGCAGCAGACTGAGCATTTAACAAATGGTGAGCGTGGTTGTCCAGTTTTAAGGAGCCCATCTCTTCTCAGTGTACCACAGCATAAGAACCATGTTCATGGCCACAACTGAGTAAAAACGTATGCTTCTGATTAGACGAGTACACAGAGAAATAGATATACAGACAGACAGACACACACATCCCTCACGGTCCAAAAGCGCTAAATTAACCAATCCATCTGCATTCCAAGCCAATACTTGAGAACTCCAACCAGAAGAGCTCTAGGACAAAACTTCCTTTTATTTATTTATTTTTCCTGTGTAAACATTCTGCCATGTGCTTTGGTTGGCAGGTAATACTAAAATAAGCTTTATTTCCTGTGTTTTTTTTTCCCTTACCAAATCTCTACCATCTGGCATCACCTCCAACACGTCCCAGGGCTACCGTGAATGCAGAAGTGTATTTCCCAGAAACTTTTCTATTAAAGTGAGCCTTCGTCGTTACTATTTTTACATTTCATCTCACACACATACACACAAATCTCAAATCAGATTCTGGGAAGAGAGAACTCTGAAAATCTCGAGTTCATATTTAGTGCAGTTAACAAACTCTTAACCTTATGCCATGGCCGGACTGCCCTCACTGCAAGCTGTTACGATTTATATATAAGCCTTTCAGTACCATCAAAATTCCCCAGACCGAACTCCATGTGTTCAGCTCGCACTACGGTGGAAGATCAAATGCTGACCTCCGAAAAAGAGGGGTGCTGTCGGGGAGAGGGGCGCAGCGCCCCGCGTCTCGGGGCGGAGGGGAGGGGGGAGAGGCGTTGCTCGCACTCGCGGTGGGAACGCAATTCAGCAAAACCGGAGAGCCAGGGGTCAGGTGACCTCGCACCGGACACGCTCCGTCGGAGGGTCTGAGCGGCTGACGCGGGCCCCCAGTTTGACAACCAAGTCTGGACTCGCACCCTGGC